AGTGTAAAACTTAGAGACGTTAAACATTTCTAAAAAGAAACGAGATAAGAAACATTTATGAAACGGTAATGAGATTTTTGCAATCTTTACCAATTAAATTGCGATATATCATAATGAAACGTATATATCAAAACATTTATATATCTTGAAGAATACGATATTTTTCTAAAATTTATGAAGTATATGAATCGAATGAAAATGATGTTTTCAAGATAGAAGGCTCGTCGAAGACATCGATACATTTTAGAAGAGACCGAGACGCCGCCATTACGGTAATTCGTATGATACAAGTTTACGAGCCGGAACATACAGAATCGTCTATCATATAAGTTCTTCCGTGTCTCACTAGGGAATCCGTGGGCTTCTTTACGCGAACCTGAAATTTCCTCACGCGGCAATCGCGGCGAACGTTCGATCTCATTTCTCATTTTTACGTTTTTCCTCTCTTTTCTCGAGAAACATACGGACTCCGCGCGATGGCCACACGTTCGGCCACACCCTCGAAACTACACAATATGTACATATACAATAAAACGTTTGCAACCTCACGCTATACATTAATTATCTATTCGGTATAAAATCGTGATTGTTTGTAAATATTCTTCGTTAATTCTGCAGCACTTTAATTCAGTCGCGGCACGCGGCGCGTTAGCCCGAGGTGAACGCGCCGCGTTCGTTTTATTATTATTTTTTTTCCTTTTATCGTTTTAATATTAACAAATTCACCCGGGAGACTTGTTCCTTCTCGCTGCGAGGCTTGAAGTCATCGTCAATTAATCTAAGTGTTTTGATATGAGCAAATGGCAAACGCGTTGACCTTTCCAATTTCGGCACGCCACCGTTAATCGGCGATTATACCGGGCGTATCGAAGTACAAAGAAACAACTCTCTTCAAAAATTGAACGTTCATTAAATATCCTTTCACAATTTCTTGCTGTTAAATTGTATAGTATTTAAAAAAATTCAATATTCCAGTGAATCGTCGTTAATCCCTCAAATTGTAAATGTCAGTTAATGAGTTAGTTAATAATCGACCACGTTAATTGAGCTTCCGAGCGATTCGATTCGTCGACGAAGTGGAAAGAAAAGAAAACTGGAAAGGTCGAGGATCGTTGCTCCTTCTTTTGATTATACGTTTCGTTCTCGACTTTCTAACACAGTTTACGTGTGTGTATGTGTGTATGTGTGTGTGTGTGTGTGTCTGTCAGCGTTTCACACAGTTCTCGATCACTCATGGTGGAGTTCCTCCGTAGGTCCGTCGGATCAGATACGCTTTTCTCGGGCTTAGGAATCTGTGAGACTGTTATTTTTTCGTTTGTTTGTTACTTTTGCGAACTGGGATCGTTATACCGTCCGCTAGTGTAGATCGGTAAAAGCTTCGCAGATCGGTTTCCCCGAGGATTTCTGCTTCTAAAACAGAACAGCAAAGTTGCTCGGGTGAGATTTGCGACCAGGTGATGATCAGGATCGATGAATCAAGTACGGCTGGAAAGTAGACGCAAAGAAACGTCGCGGCAACCGTTTTCTCCAATTAAATTCTAAAGAAGCAAACAAGCTTAGCAGGCACAAAGGGGAAAGGAATTACAGTGGGGAAATGAAACACGTGCTGTACGATTCTTCTCGAGTCTAAGGACAAAGGAATGAAGTTAGTAGAACGGCGGCAGCGAGCCCGGTGAACTAGTTTTAATGTTACTCATCACGAGGCAGAGGAATTAACGGCACGGTATTAGATAGAACGAAAATCAGAATAAGCTGGATATAAAGCGATTCCTCTGGAAAATGATAATTGAAAAATCAGAATGAAGCTTCTTTTAAACGGATTGAGAACGCGATGTTTCGCGAGGGAATTCAAAGTTTAATACCGTCGAGCGAAATGAATGACATTTTTGTAATTGAAATAAGCGAAGGATACTCCGTTTCAAATTGAAAAACATTCGTCTGGGAATAATGAAATATGGAAAATGAATATTTAATATTTCTAATGTATTATATTAACAATCATTTCGCATTTCTTGTGACTCCATCGAAAAAAGTTATATACATGTCGAGTGAAAATGTGTATGTTAATTTTCATATTGTAATTGATTTTACAATGAATATTCATTCTCACAAATACGTTCCTAAAATTCATGACCACGTCACGCAGCCCACGAATTTATGAAATTCCCGGACTGCAAGAAAATAAAACGTTTCCGTGTATTTTCATTTACATGGTACATCAACCACTCTGTAATCCTTGGAAATAAAAAATCCGGTTTCAGTGAATTGATGTTTGAATGCATCAAACTGCAAAGCACATTTTTAAGTGAAACATATTTCGTGTATAAAAATGCCGAAAGGATTATTAAATTTAAAATCGTTGATGCATAAAATAACAAAACAAGTTTTTAGGTTAATAACAGGTTGCGTATGAAATGAAAATTAACACTTTGTTTAACATTTTCGCAAAATCGCCAGGAGGTCTTTTAAGCTTCAAATGTTTATCACATAAAATCGTGGAAGAAGTATATTTAAATTTCGTTGCAATGGCGGTTTAGTTAATGCGACATCTCACTATTGATTCCAAGGTAGAAGTTTTCAGTGTCCTCGATTATGCGACAATTAGTGTACCGGCTGTCGTAAAGCAAGAACGATTAACAGTTCCAGAATCAGGATAGTATCGTGGCCACTCTGTTGCGGTCTGAAGTATCGCGGTCCGAAGGGGAACAGCTATACACCGACGTTTGTTGGCTTGCGGAATTGTTTGCTCTCGAGTGCGCCGGGGTCACCGTCGCAAAGCTGCATATCCGTATTTGTGGACGAGCCCTTCTCAAATACTTGCCTGTTTGCTTACCGCTTGAATGTACGCAAACGGTAGCTCGAATACATATTGTAGACACGCGATCCCCTTCGTACGCGGGCTTCCCGCGGCCGTATCACCGCGCCTTAATTTCATTCCTGTCAAGGAATGTTCCACTGGTGCCCTTCTACCTTCGAAGTATCTACTTTCTTAATACCCCCTGGATTCTTTTTCGAAGTCAATTAAAGAATTACGCATACCGGAGAGCGATAACATTTGAATTTTTATTTAAAAACCTGTTTGATTCGTTATCGATTTTTTAAAAAATTAATTAGAGACTTACGTATACTAGAGAATGATGATATTTGTAGTTATATTTGAGAATTCGTTTCATTCTCAGTCCATTTTTTTCGAAATTGATTGAAAAATTTGAAATTATATGACCTCGACGGTAAATGGTTTGAAACTTTTTCACAAGATTTTGAAGATCGTAGGACTTTTGTGTGATTTCTATGAGACAAATTTGTTAAAGTGGTATTAAAAGTGTAATTCTTTAGCGGTTCGTAAACCTTCGAACGGAAGAAAGAAAACAGAGTGGAAACGAAGAAGAAATACGAGGGTAAATTACGAGCGAACCGCCAGTAAAACGCTGCCTACAGCCGCAAATAATTATCGTAAACTTTCCGGAGGAACAAAGACACTTTACGCCCCAGTATTGTTTCACTCACTCGGTGTACTAAATATTTCCGACTCGAATGAGAACCGTGCAGAGCAGGAATAGAGGAATTTCAATGGTGGTATGTGAATCGGAAGAACAGATTTAAGTCAGACCTGGTAATCAATTGTTTTATTCATTGCGATCGAATTAAAATACCACTTGAAAACTGAGAAATTACAAAGAGCTATCAAACACATTTGTAAATCCAAAACAATGTACTCAAGTAAGAAAACTAAATTCATTTTACCCTTATTTATGAAATTTCCTATACAACAGTTACCAACAACTGAAACCAGACCTGACTCGAATGATTACTTTCACCGCGAACAATTTCTACTAAACTACGGATTTTATTCGTCTAAACATTCTCAAACATATAAACCATCTAGAAACCACCAAATCAAACAATTAAAATTAAAAATACCCTTTACATTAGACACAGTCAAGTTAATGAAACAATCAAAGATCATTTTACACAATCCCAATTGAAACTGAATAATTTCTCAAAATCTTTTATCCATATTAAAATCCGCAGTTCGATTATTTCTTTAGGACATACAGAGATGGAATGTTTGCTAGATTCCCTATTCCATGGTTCGAATCGAAATTTCCTACTTTACATCTTCCCCCGTGATTCATCGATCAGGACAGTAGAACGATCAGACCCGAGTGGTTCTGTAGTTGTACCGTGACCATTAAAGGGGAACTCCACCATCGCGCGAACATCAACTGATGTATTCGCGCGGTATGTCGGGGTAAATCGCGTCGGGATCGAGATGCGTGTTGGACGACGTTACTTCTGGCGCGATCACGCCCTCTTCGACGTGCTAGCTGACCTCACTCACCCGTTCCTCAATGGCGACCTTCCGGCTTTTCCAAACGAACTCGCATACCGCTATCACGCAAGCGATCCCCATCCCGCCCATCAGAACCACGAACACGCCGCCGACGTTCGCGAGGCCCAGCTCGTTCGCCGTCGAGCTGCTCTTCGAGGTGTCGTCCTGCCAATAAAACAAACAACCCTCAGCCTGAAACAACTTAACGCATTCACGGCCGGGGTTACGTATCCGTGACCTCTCTCACAATCAATCTCTATCATATCCAACAAGTAGCACTTATCTACAGTTAGGAGATGACTTGACGTTTAATGGAACGGTACAGAGGTAAGAGGTGTTTTCCTATTTCACAGTTATATAGCTTTGATCGGTCACGTGTAACCATATTAAAGAACAGTAAATTAGCGATCGAAAATAGTAAGAATTCGAAATTAAACCAAGGAAAACCTCGGTGAGGACACAATGACAACCGACCAATCAGCGGAATTCCTCAATCTAGTCATCAAGTAAATTTCTAGCAGTATTTTCAAGTTATTTGAATCTAAATGAAACTGAATTAACCTAATTAAAGCTAATATAGACATTTTTTATATATCCGTTTGATCAAAGATAGTTAGCAACACTGAAACTAAGTTAACACGTTGACTGCCACGAGAATCTCGAACGTTTTCTGTAATAATACATATCTTTTCATAACAGAGACAAATGGTATTAGAAATAATTATTAATTACTTGGTATCACAGTACACGTGTTACACTATTATCTGTTTGTGTTACTAAGTATTTTTATTCAAGATCAGTTTGCTTATTGTAATTGTATTTAAGCAATTTTGAAGCTCCGGTCGCCGACCACCATGGCAGTCAACGTGTCAATTTTGTACTTTTGCATTTGGAACATCTAATAATGGTGTCATTAGTTTCTAACCTCGTATCTTTAGATACTGCGTAAGAAAGGTTTCAGAAAGTGAAAATAATAAATTTGATCTCAAGTACCCGTGCTGATGAAAATATAAAAGTGGCATAGGGTCACAAAGCTTCTTAATTTCCAACGGAACAAACCCCTTTCACGGGTTTTGCAATTATTTTCTAAAAAAGACCATCTTCGTTTCATTCATTCGATGGCACGGTAACACTGAATTTTCAGCCAACAAATTTTAGCGGTGAGCGGTTGCGAGAATACATCCTGGCAGAATAATAGTGGCAGATAAGAGCTGCATAATAGCGCTAGCCACGATTTCACGAATTTATGAAATTGTCTCCCCTCAGCTACGGTCTGCTGGTCTACCGCCACCCCTAACCGTTCTACCTGTGCGTAGGCGGAGCGTGAACGGGACGAGATGTACTGGGGGGGAGGATAAGAATTTCGGGAGAGGTTATTGACTATGTTACACCGTGACCGGATACGATGGCCAAGGTGAATAAGGGAGGATGTATTTGCATGCTCACCCTGCAAGATCCTCCGCCACGTTTCTCCTTCCACCAGCGCGTCTTCAGCAAATGCAGCTTCCCCTCTTCTTGCAGCTTCAGGATCGCGCCGCTTATGGCTGTCCTGTACGGCGAATCTGAAGTCCCAAGGTCACGTTTAGAAAGTCTTATTCCCCTCCCTAGTGGGTTTGTACCGGGTCCGAAGTTTTTTGAACATTGTCATGGATGTTACTGATTTTGTTAGAAATATAATAGGGTTGCGAAGATTCTAGTACTGATTTAAATAAAATTTTGTAGATTTGCCGAACACTGAAAAATGGTGGATAGTGTTTCCTTTTATTTAAAATAATTCAAGATTAAGGAATGAATTTACTCTACAAATTTTGAGTCTCTAAGTGGTAACCTGAAATTGGTATGAAAAATATTAAAAAACAATTGAGTGATTTTTCATACATTATACAAAATTTAGTATCTTGCATTCTTATAAGAAATATTTATCTTCTTAATAGTTTTCACACAGTTCCATCAACTTGTAGTCGAAACGAAAAAACAAATATTCTACCAGCAAGGAAAAAGAATCGACATCTACGATCACGCTTTCGACCGTACATACGTACAATATTCTCACAGTGTGCGAGCGAATCATTTACCTCCCACCGTAAGCTAGAATATTCAGCAGTGAAATCGTTCCGAGCTCAGAATCGGTTAAAATTCCGTCGTAGCGCCCGGGGAATCTACGAGCTCCTAATTTCTCGATAAATTCGTACAACGAACGTGAAAAATTATCTTTCCGATTGGACGCCGTTTGCCCGGCACCATAAATCAAGGATATGCATGTCGATCGGGCCGAAATAGCCTCGCGTCTCTATCGCTTGAAAGCTATTCGGTCGAGTATAATCGGCTAACGGTGCATCTAGGTGACGAGTTTATACTACCAACTACATGCATATGTATATATCCATGCATACACACGCTTACGCGCGTGTACAGTGGATATACATACATGTATGCATATTGTATACGTGTATATAGATGCGTTAGGGTATTTCTGTCGTAGCACTTACTCGGCGGCATAGCAATGCCATATCCTTTCGAGTCCAAGAGACCGCCGACTTGAGTGAGGTCGCAGTTCCTCTCGATTACGTATTCGATAGAAGTGGATTCCATTAGGAATGCGTAGCTGCCTTTACCCTTGATCACTCGCTCCTCGCCCTCGAGGTTGCTCGTTGTAAATACCGACGGCTTTGCCGAATCCATGAAGGACCACATACGCTGGTACGTCGAGAAATTGGAATCCTAGATCAGGCGAGGAATTTCATGGTCGAGCACGCGTGCCATTAAACGATGGAACGTTGGCCGAAATTGGTTAATCTTCAAGGAGGGTACTATTACACGGTGCTCGCCGCTCACCGGTCCCATGGAAATCACGGCGAGCTACCTTTCCGACGATCGATAACAACGCTCATGCCGGCGATCCGCCATTTTATTTTTGCTACCCCTAATGCACGGATTGATCGAGATCCACGGTTAGATATTTTTTGAGTGTAAGTAATTATTGTAATGGAATTGTTAAATTTGCTTGATCGAAATCGAGGATCTGCTGAAATAAATGATTTTATCTTTTATTTGGCGAACGAACTATTTTCGAGTGATTGGTTTGATTATAATGTAAAATAATTAGATTGTGAGTGTTTTTATAAAATATTTTGATTTTGTAAAATATAGTAAGCAAATGTTGGAATGAAGTTTATAAAACATATATTTTTGTAGCTTGTGAATTAAAGTTTGATGTAATACAAGGAAAGCATTTTCTTCGCCAGTGAAATCAGATTCTGAGTGAAGTTTTCAAGCAAAATAAGATAAAGTAACGAAGTGAATAAAAATAAAATAAAAATGTTGCCTGAATGGTTATTTGAATAAAACTTTACTTCGATAATGCCCAGTCCTGATGAGAAGCTTTTAACTACTTCTGAACTTTCAGAAGTAATCCTTGAAGACTGACCTTTCGAAATATAAAAACATTCTCTTTTCTAAACATTGTTTCCCAGTGTTTTAGCTTCAGTTTTATGGGACGGAAATTACTTTCCAGATTAAAGAAAGTCCATGAGATGGAATAACATTTTTTAGAACGAGGAGGTTCCATTTCACGGAGAATGAAATACAAATATTCGTTGAAAACTCATGGCTCTAATAATACGACTGATCATTGGTTATCGTTTCTACTTACAATGGAAATTGCGTTTCACCTTTTGAATTCACTTTTACATGAGAAATTGCCTCTTTTGAAGTCTTATCACAATTTAAAGTATATCTCGTGCCAAGTAAAATTCTAGTAAAGTGGAATATGATTTTGAAAAAAAAAGGTTGAAAAATTCTCTGATACTGCTGTGCAATTTCCAGGAACATCAAGTTACAATACCCATTTGCATCTCAAACAATCGATAAATTTGAGCTTCGTAGTCATCGTTTTGTATGTATTGATGCGTAATTCGTCCAAATTCAAAGACATCGACCGTAGCTGAATAAGGCGATTACGTGGATGTTTGTATAGAGTTCATAAGATATTCATGCGATCTTACCCTGAAAAAGGCGGCGGTACTGCCTCCTTTGAGGGCGCCGTATTTGATTTTCGTCTGCTTTGCGAGATCCTCCGCGCTCTCGATCGGCGAATCCATCCTCTCGACGGTGAGGAACGCGGCCAAGTTGGCAGTGTACGAAGAAATCATGATCAAAGTGAAGAACCACCACATCCCCGCCACTATGCGAGTCGACACGGCCCTACGATGAGAATTTGAACGGTGCAGACAAACCCTCACGCGAAAAGATCCAGAATATGTTCTTCGTCGAACGAATATCAAAGTATTTTTTACGTTTACGTTAATGTGCAATCGATTTTTTCAAGAATTCGAGGTATCTTTAAGTGAAATTTCATTGTTCTCTCGCAATTAGCTATACTAGTTTCTGCGAGATCATAGATTTTAATAATAAAAACGTTTTAAAGCTAATACGAAGTGTCACTACTTTAACACTACCTTCTTTTTAATTATAATATACAAACTACGGATTTTATGAGCGTACATGATGTAAGATTCCTTAAAATTTGGAATAGTATAAGGTTCGTTAAATTATAATGTTATTTTAATTAAAAAATCTGAATTTTCATAAATATCCGAAGTTTAATAATTGTTAAACTATTACGTATCTACTATTGTAATTGAGTGTGTAATTTGTTTAACCAAAGTTCGGTGTTATTAAATAAACTGGTTTAGTGTTGGAATAATATTAAATAGAAATTCTTTACGTTGTGAGTAATTTAATTTTTACATCTCGCGCTGGCTCGAAACTCGGTCAGATAAATTACACTGAACAATACTCCAAACTACTACGTATCACTTTGTCATGCATCTCACGTTCGCTACGCTTCTAAGAACCCTCTAATGTAACACACATGACACCAACTTAAGCACTAATCCTACTAAATAAGGAACGACGATAACGACTCGGGGAATAGGGGCTGCTCCGCGTGGAGTTTCGGAAGACAGAAGCATCTAAATAGTCTCTCGCCTCTAATGAGTAGTGAAAGTGTCAGGTGTCTCGGATCGACGCGTTGAAATTGCTGCTGCCTCCTTTAAATAATTCAATTACGTCCTCTACCCAACAAGGAATTCGAAAACACAATATATTCCATTTGGTTGAGTCAAACGTAACTTTCAAGCAATTTCAAAATCAACTTTGGTTGATTTTGGTAAACAATACCAAAACAATTTTGGTAAACATTTATAATTAAAACTTAATTAAATTACAATTTAATTTAATAACAACGAAAACGACGTAACAGATGATATTTTTACTGAAACTTCTTTCGAATAAAATAAATTTCTATCGAAGTTAACTGTCTCTACGAATTACAAAAATGTTTCGATAGTAGATAAATATAAAAATCTGTCGATCACCTCCAACAATATCGAGGCGCAAGATTAACACACAATTATAAATTAAATCTATCTCAACCAAATTTTCCTTTTCCAACGAGCACTCCAACAAACTTCCTTTCGCCTCTTCGAAACTCCAGAAACGGTTACGTTCATTGAGTTGCCGGCTCGCGTTTTCGCGATGATACACCGAAGACGTTAATTATCGAAACCGTATCATTATCGTACGCACGGGTAAGGAGTACAGCAACAACTTCCATTAAACGTCGTCGGCAGCGTCTGACGACGAGAAGAACAGAGCGGTTAGCGGCGGCGATAGCGAAGCACGGCTTGCGTGTCTCGGCGCGCGGTTGGAACGTGATCGGTTGCAGCAAGCCTACGATATAGCATATCCAGGCTATCGTTACAAGAAGAGTAGCACCCACGACCCCCGAATCATCGTCCGCCCCCGTAACCGTCCCAAGCCGGCTCCCTCCAAAACTTCTCTCGCCTCGTATATCCAGGTGAACCGTACTACGAGCCTGGTTAAACTTAGTTCGCCGAGAGTTCGGGTTCACGGAACACAATGATAGAGTCCCCAGTTGTTATATATATTGTTGCGTCCCAGCTTACTCGCTCGCGACATTATTTTCAGTAACTAGGCCTTCAAAACTGTATTCACAAACAAAGAGTTCTTGTAGAAAACGCAGTAAGTAAAGAAAAATCATCCTTTTCCACTACTATCCTATAACATACAATTTAAGTGTAATTTTCCTTTTCTATATAATAATCCATAATAGCAGTCATCTTTAATACTGACGATAACATTCGAACGTAATGTTAGATAACTTTCTTGTTCCTGAAATTGATTTTCTCACTTACAACCTTTTTTACAAATACTCTTTGAACATGTATAATATTGAAAGTTTTATGGGTACTCTTTCTGGATGACAGTCTCTTGAAGACCCTCTTTTGCCCATCATTTAATCAATCATCCCTCAGCGACTACTGTTTAAACCATCTTCAGAGGGTTAACTCATTCCTGCGTTAACTCATGTTACTGGGCGACTTTCGAGATATCGCAACAATATATATAGATACCGATACACTGTACAGACACCGCGGAATCGTGCTAAATAGGCTGTCGGTGCTCCTCCGGCGACTTACTTCGGCGCTATATCAGAGCCTTGCTGCATGAGCGAGCCTATGGTGAACCAGAGCGAGTTCATCAGGGTGAACTCGTTCTCGAGGACCTCGGACTGTCCGTTGCACAGATGGGGATTCTCCCACTCGTAGGGGCTGAACCTGCAGACACGTGAAAGGAGAAGGGGGAGGATTAGACCTCAGAGTCGCAACGTGGCTTGGTACTTGGCATTTCGGTGGCTCGTTTCTCAGTTTCCTTGGTGTCTTTCTTTATACTTTAGTTTTATAATGATCAAGTTTGTAATTTGAATGTACTCTTAGGAAAGAGTATCAAAGTGAATTATATAGATTGTGGATTTTCGAGAAGCATGTTGGAAATCGAAATAAGTTTCAAGCAAGTAACCGTTCAATTTGGAACCTGTTAGGAAATTCAATAACGTGAATACATTAAATACTGTACTTTCAGCTGCAGAAATTCATTTCCAGCGTGCATGTTATTTTATGCTCATAGTTCACTTACTGCAACCGCTGTTAACAGAAATATTGGACAATAATATTTTCAATGACTGTAAGAAATGTATTAATAACGAATAAGCGAGTCGCAAATGGAATGAATACACCCGCGGGGGAAATTCAAATGCAAACACACCGTTTGTAACAGGTATGTGTGTCGTTGAACACGTGCATTTTTAATTCACGAACGCAGCTGCGACTCTGAGAATCGCTGCCTGCTCGTTAATCGATATTTTCTCAAGCTTTGCGAACGCCAGACGCATTAAGGAGAGACCGCCACGAAAACTCTTAACCCTTTCGCCATTGACAAGAACCGATTTTCTCGTAAAGAAACCTTCCATTAAATTCTTTCTTCAAAAATCCCTCGAAAGGTACGACACGGAAAGACTATCAATAGGAAAGAACGTTCTTCTCGCGTTTTTTCCTTATTTTTTCCTGAGATCTTCATCGTGAATCAATTTGTCCGATCACAGGGGAAACTTTCATGCAACTTGTAATTGCTCCACCACTTTCTCTCTGCAAATACTTCGAGAAACGTGGTAAAGGGAAGAAAGTTTTACAAGAAAGAAGGAAATTCAATTCGTAGTTTCCCTTTCCTTAATTGAATTTTTTATTGTTTCCTCGAATCACTTTAGCTTCTCGAGCTGACTTGTTTCTGGTATCCGTGGCGTATAAATGAAAAAAAGATCCACGACCCACGGAAAATTCTTACGTCCAATTAAAACTCTTCCTCGCTGTCGTAGGTATTAACTTAACCCTTACTCTTTCAATGAATTTCTTAATATACATCCGAGTCGATAGGGAAACAAAACCTGCACTCAATCAGAAATCGCAACGTTCAAATTATACATTAAAACAAAGTAGGTATACGTTGAAGAACATCATATTAAACAATAACTAATTTTGTCACGATCGAACTGATTAATGCAAAAGTAAAAAATGTAGGAAGCAAAATACGGGAAAAATATATAAAATTTATAAAATGAAACGTTAAAGAAAAATATAAAAAGTATGGGAATTAAAATGAAATTACAGAAAGTAAAATATAGAAAATGGAATGCAGAAAATATAGGAAATAGAATATAGAATGTAAAATATAGAAAACATAGAATGTAAAATACAGAAAGCATAGAATGTAAAGTACAGAAAACATAGGAAGTAAACTATAGAAACTATGGAAAATAAAATAAGAAAAATATAATTTGGTAGATGCAAAGTATACATCGCCACCGTGGTAGTATGAAGGTTAATTCTTCCCTCAACTGTCAGTAACACTACACAATTTACAATATACATTCCACCCAATACAAGAGTCATCCGAATCCATAAAAAATCATTCAAATCGACGAAACAAATTCGTTCCCAAGCAAACAACGAACAATCCCGTCCTCCCGACAAGGCCGTCTCTCCTTAAGAAGACGTTTCTTTCTTTCTTTTCGCGAGCTCTCGATTCTCGTGTCGGGCGTCCTTCATCTACGAGGGACTGCAACAGTATCAAACAATCCGGTCCCGGCGGTACCGCGGTTTGCGCGAATTCGTTCCGTTGAATAATTCATCCGTCCCTCGGCGCGCGTATCCGCGGGATACAAGCGATCCGCCGCGAGAACGGATCATTAGTTACGTCGTCGATCGGTCGATTTACATGCGCGCCGGTTGGGAAAGAGCGACGCGTGCCGCGGCGGCTGGATTAAACGGAGACATTGTACCAATAGAAAGACAGACAGAGAGAGACAGAAAGAAAGAGAGATATATATATATAGAGAGAGAGAGAAAGAGAGAGAGAAAGACAGAGAGCACGGGACTGCAAGAGGACAACGGCGGAACTGCAACAACAAAACGATGAGGGGTTAGAGGGGGGAATAAATGAAAGAACAAACAAGTCGGTGGACAATTCCAAGCGATCGGTGATGCCAATCTAACGGCTTACTTGGGCAGAATGTCACAGCCCTGTCGCATTAAAGATCCGATGGTGAACCACATGCAGTTGAGCAGCTTGAAGCGGTTCTCCAGATGGTCCGGGTTTTTGTTGCACGGATGAGGATTGTACCACTCGTACGGGGTGAATCTAAACTGATCAGCTCTAGACAACGTCTGGCCACCGCGCCCGGCCGGACGATCGCCATTTACGTATGAAGATTAACCGCGTCCGGTAAAGCCGGGGTAAAAAGAGGTCGAACGGAATGCGGCAAGTCACCGTGCGTTGTTTAGCCGTCCGCCCATTTTGACTCGTTCCCTTTTTCCCTTTGCGCGAGCCCGCGCGAGCGCAGGATCGTTACCCCGCGATGCCTCCCGGTGAATCGTGAAATTGGAGTCGGCACGGTTCGAAGAATATTCACGAGACACCGTGAATCGAATAACGTTGAGTCGCCGGGGTGAGCCGCCCGAGACAAACCGCCTGAACGACTATTACGGTTTTGGAAATGGGAGGAAGTATTTAAATTGCTCCGCGTCCTGTCCGTGTAAGCAATTACGGGAGCATTGCATTTCTTTCGAAAGTTTGCGAGAATTGAGATTATATTAATGGCCCGCGATTGTGTATGAGTGGATCGGAATGCGCGAAAAAGCGAAGGGGTGAGATTTATGTGGATGTTTCTGTGAAATGAAGAAATGCTGGTAGTCAGCTTCGAATGAATTATGCGAGGTTTGATTATCGAGCTACCTCTGGCGTATGGGTTTTATGTATCGTATTGCAATGTGGGAAATGCGATTAACAATGTTTTCGCGATATATAAATTTGTGTGTAACGACTATCGTGTAGGTACCGCCAATGTGATGCGAGTTCGAATAAAAATTGAATAATTATAGGATATTTTGGAAATAGTATTATGTTTCAAAAACAGTTATAATGCATTTTTATGTTTAATCTGTCTGTGAATCGGTGATGTTTAGGCAGATTAGATATATTCACACGAAATTCGTATTTAAATATTTCGTAGCATCTCCAAAACTGTAGGAGCTGCTCAGCTGGCTACCTTAAGACGACTCCCTCTTTAGCTATTATTAAGTATATATATATACACACACATTATCAAGCTGTCATCATTTTACTTTCAATGGGAAAGACAGGGTTCGCTCGTAAAGTTAATTTAGCATTTCCATTCGTGGCTCCGTGACGCACGAGAAACTTGTTGAATTTTTAAAACGATAAGTACTTTCTCGCCGTGGAAACTTGTTCCTATCGAATCATTCGGATACGTGGCGTGGTCGGTGCTGTACAGTACTTTTATCGAAGCTTGGGAAGGTAGATTCACTTGCCTGGCGAGTATGAAGAGTAGCACGGAGACGCCCAGATAAGCTGTCGCCATATAAATCCAAACGTCGAGGCTCAGGGGGCTCAGGAAGGAGAACAGATTCGGCGGTTGCTTTATAGGCTTACGGTACAGTATACTGATACCTGAAAGAGTCAATTTTTTTTATATAACATATCGAACTCCCCGCGGAAACCTAAAATATTTACGTCGTCTTTTATGTCGCCAGCAGATATCTAGATAAAAGTATTTCTCTTAAATCGGCAAATTTTCCAATAAAAGGGATTTTACCAAAGCCCTCAATTTTCCTTCATATTAAATAACATATCTTATCACTGTAAATATTAAAACCAATAAAACTACCAACTCAATCATGCATCATAGTTATCATCCTCTCATTGAGAAAAACATGATACTGTTAAAGAAGCAATATTCATTCAAACATTTACTTCTTCGAAACGAACATTTTTCCCTCAAGAAATATCTAGTCGCCAAAAATACATTTCAAATTCCAATTTTAGAACAGAAACAAAAAGTTCCAATTCAACTGCAAGTTTACAAAATAAATCTACAAAACGCCTTGATTGCGTTGAAAATGACTCGACCTGCTTCGCGGAAGAGGAATCCACGCAGGAATATTTCTCGAAACAAACACGATCCTCCCTAACCATAAATTTTCCTCGCTTCAATTTCCATCTTCCAAGAAGCCTGGCGATGTGTTGCGCACAGGATTTCCCGCGTGAATTCTTTTTCCATTTTCCGAAATCAAGGGAAATGGCTGGCGAGGTTGTGATTAAATCAATCTTCGCGGCCAATGATCGCGGCCGAAGCGTACAGCCCTTAATTAAACGGATCCCTCACCGAGATTCATGAACGGCATGGTGAAGTCGACAGCCTGCTCCCGATCGTACGTGATGGTGAGATCGGCGATCGCTAGGTCCGCTTTCTGATCGAGCAATTCTTTCATCATGCCGTCCCACTCTTTGGTCTGCTTGTTGTAAGAGCCGTAACGACCGTCGGTCACCAGCCGGAATGTGTAATTGAAGCCGAGGATCTTCGATATCTCGTATATCAGGTCGACGCTGTACCCCTCGAACTGCGCGTTTCCGGTAAGCTTCTCGCTCGAGTCCTTCCTCATGCAGTACGGCGCGCTCTGTAAGGTAATGAGCTTGACGTCACGAGTCGGATGTCGCGACCCCACTGTGCCTGTGTGTTGCACCGAGCACAGCGCTTTAAACTGGCTGTATTAGTATTCTCGGGACCACGATGAGAGATAGGTATTAACCGATGGCTTGTGTTAACACTGAAACCACCGGACGGGTAGAATTGAACCACTTCAGAATTGTTTTGCAGGTATTTAAATTATGAAGGCGTCTCTGCTAAAGATTTTTCATTGAAGTGTATTTGAACGGATACGAGACTAGGAGACCTTTCGAACTTTGAAGAACGTATTGTTATAACTTTTATAACAAATTGGAAACGAGTGATTGTAATTGTTTAGTGACTTTAGTGTTAAGGGAGTCTAGAATATAATGGCGGATGTAAGTGTCGACGTGAGGACGGTGTGAAGAAAACGCGTATTTAGGAATAGTGGATGTGCTAATTTTTTTCGGCTGCGGGAGATTGAAATTAATGTTTGATCGAAATAAATATGACGACATAAAATTTATAATTAATATAGCAATTTATTGCTTGATTTCAAGGTGATTTATTGTATAGAGGGAATTTATTTACCGAGGTGTGCAGGTATAAGAAGGAATTATTTTGTTTTGTTGTTTGTAGGAATTTTATTCGTGGATTTGGTAGAAAGTAATTATAAAATGATGGATCCTTGCAGAAATAGTACCATTTAGAAGTGGGAGAAAGAAAACAACCGTTCTAGTACTATCCATGTGGTCTTTTCATTTGCGACGAAAATAGTTGAGTTATAATGACCATATGTTCGTCGAGGTTTAATAACTTCTTAATTCCTTTTTTATGACGTCCCACTCTGTAGTTTATGAAACTGAAATAATATAGGAAATGTTATGTTTTCAGAGTCGTAAATCCATTTTTTACGGGAACCACATCAAGGAGACCTGCGATTTTGTATACTCAAACGATTTAATGTTTATTTACTGTTCAACTAATTATTACCTAGATATCTCGCAGTGTACAATGATAATTGAAATTAAATTAAGGAAACGTTTCAATCTATATTTATATAGATACTAACGTGCACGAAATATTCGTAAGAGATTCGCACACGCATCATTGCAAATAAAAACTCGTCGAAAGTTTCATTTTATACTAAACAAATTCTGCAACGAATTAAATAACCATTACCCTCAGCGCGAAAGGGCGACTACGATATTAACGGTCAAACTTGAACCATATCTTCCTAGCCCACTCAAAACTACACTAATCACAAGAGCACGCTTAATTTAACTTCCAAGAAGACATTAATGTTCTTTACAAGAAAAATATGGGAAGCAAAAGCACCGTAAGTTAAACCCTCAAGAAATTCATTATTAAAACCAATCAAACTTCCCACAGTGTCATCAATTCCCAAGAAAATTTCCGTCCAACAGAATCACACCCTAATTAAATAAAGTTGGGCGTTACGATGCCAAGAATATAATAGATTGCAAGTTCTTTGAAATAAAATAATCCAATAAATTTTAGGCTTTCCGATAAGCTTCCTCCTCCGCGATCGCGGAGCTTCCATTTACTCGAAATGCTTTACGATGCTCGTCTTTTATATCTTCAATCATATATGCTCGCTGGAGCATCGAATCAAGAGCAGATATTATGGCGGGCAGTTTTTAGTGCTTCACCCTGTAGGTACGTGCGCAGGTAGCACGTATGAAGGCCCCCAGCACCACGGGGTTTGAATACGTGCGGACGAAGGCGAATAGCTGGGTCAACGGTTGAACCAATGAGAACCGCTCGTACGGTTTCGCGCGCGCGCAAACTTGCAACGGCATATTCACTCCGACCGTTTCGGCAAATATGAAAATTCAGGAGTCCACGGCTCCTTTCGCGCTCCGACGCTGTTTAATTAATGCAACCGTGATTCGCGCTAGGCGCAAGAGGGAAATGAAATATGCATGCACGGCCGCGCGTGGCCGCGACTAAAGGGCTGCCGGCTCTTGTCTCGGCCCCGGACCTTCTTTCGGTGCTCATCGATGAGAAACGAGTACGCGATGGTGTGTAATATCGATGTTACGTACCTTTGAATAGAAAATGGGAAAACCGTGAGGAGAGCGGATGAAATTTCCCTCTCGATTTCAACTCCCTGACGTACGAACCAATTAATTCTGTGGGTCTTCTACGAGAACGAGCTCGAGTTTCTTAATAATTTGTACCGATGTGGTGTGTGCTATGTAGATTGCAAACGTACTGTGATGTTAGAGGAACTTAAATTGTAACAATCGCTTTTTGATATCATGTTTGTTCTATAATCTCTGAGTGGCTTCGTGGATGTATATTATCGGGTAAACTTATGAAATTTGGTTGTACAGTTAATGTATAGGTGGAATATTGTTATATGAAGTATCTGGGTTGAATTTTATACCCTTCGCATCGGATTAGTTTTATTTGAAGCTACGCAATTACTAGAATCGTTTGAAAAGATCGTACCTTTTTGTCTATAATTGAAAACCTGATATTGTTCTCTTTCAAAAAAGGAACGAGTTATTTAAACGAGAAAACTTAATGTTAATCCCTTGCACTCGACAAGTCTCACTATAAATATAAATCGCGTTACAATGAAGCACCAACAATATTTGTTAAAGCTAATGCAGAAAAATCATTCAGAAATCGAGGAACAGAATTATTCTATTTCAACGTGGCATGCGTTGATCCATTAGACAGCGTCCAATATTAAATATCTAATTCCATCATTTTCCTGCATCAAATCAAGCAACGACTGAAAATCCCCCCTCGAGTGCAAAGGGCGAATACGTAAAAATACTTCAAACCCATGACAAAACCAAGAAATAAATTCACGAAATCTCGCGTATGATTCAAACGAATCCCTTACTTTATCCCCAAACACCTCCATCCCCATCCATAATCGATTCCTATCCAATTCTCGAACGAGCGTCAAAAACTACCGGGAACTCGTAACTCGTAAAGGGACTGTAAAAGTGTCTGGGTCTCCGTCGGGTCCCGTAATTGCCGAGCCGTCTAACGTTGGCAGTTAACCGAAGTCTCTATTACCGTGCGCGAACTTCGCGATTTTCGGCCGTCTAGGGTATCTAGCTGGTTCGAGGGCTCGTTGAACGACGGGAGATCCGATTAATATCACCGTAAATAGGGGACGTAACCGGGGGAACGTTCCGAAGAAGTCGAGGCATTAGATCGTTCAAGTTTCCGGCGCGTCGTCTGCTATGAGCACCCTTATCTCGAGCGCGCGCGCGAGACACGAGGAGCGAGACACTTCCACTCGTGAACTTTCGAGCCAGTTAATACATCCGCGAGTGCATTACTTGTCGCCGCAATTAGCGCGAGAATAAGTAACGCCGAGGCCGGCCTTGCCGTGAAAACTTCAATTAAATCGCGTGCAGCCAGGGTTTCCTTTCGCCGTTGGCTTTCTTCGGTCTCCCGCGGGAGGGCCGCGCAGGGGAGACCATGGAGGGGGAAAAAAGTCTAACGAGCTGGCGGAGGCTGCAAAAGGAAAAGGAAATAACTCGCTTCCGTTACGGCGTTCGTTCAACTCGGTTTCTGTTTCCTTTTCATTCCGGGAAAACAAACAGTCCGGGCTTTAACGATACGCGGATGATTTACCCGCCGGAAGACGCGAATATTAAAAAATCTTGAGGAGGATGCGGGGTGGTAAATAAACAGCGGTACGAGTTAAGGTGAACATTCGGATTCGCGGCGAGCGGAAGCGTTAAGTTGCCGGAATCGATCTGGATCTGAGGAGACGCGTGTTTTTTCGTCTAGCGAGCTGTGCGTAGGATCCTTTGGACGATGTTTAGGGTGACTTTGGTATTCGAGGGTTTCAGCATTTATTGTGTCGTGTACCTTGTTTTCCACCGACTATGTTCGGTAGTTAAACTAGTACTTCGCACGCCGAATTAACTTTGTGCGAATTTTTAGGTTTGTGAAGTGGACTGTATTTACTTGTGAAAATCAGTGTAGTGACTCGAAATATGTTCGATGTTCTCTATTTGCTTGGTTGACTATTTGTTTCCAACTATGATTCTCGACTCGCTATTCTCGACTCGCTATTCTCGACTCCCTGGGCCTCCCAGAATCGTCTTCGACGACACCTCCGCAATGTCGTCTTCGCGGGGGTGAAGACGTTCTGGTTGGCCCTTTTCGATCTGAAATGGTTGTGGAAGGGAGACACAGTCCCTTCCCTTCTAGTCTTCCTAGTTGCTAAAGTTAATAACTAATTCGTCCCGTTTGCAATCGCCGACCGTGGCAGGTAAAAAGCAAGAAACGCTTGGCCTTAGAAACACATGCTAACGGACGGGCAAGAGAGTTAAAAATACTGGTGACTGGACACCAGATGTAAACAATAGGCAAAGAAAATCTACAGCAATAATCGCGGGCCTTATGGGTTCAGGGATTTATGGCTGCCACGGTCCCTTCTCGTAATACCGTAAAGACGATTGCAAGTTGTGAACGGGACGAAGGCTCCTATTATTTCGAAAAAACTACCAAATGTACAATAAGCCGTAGCAAACATAAAAGGTGTATACAAACTAAAAAGTACGATGGTTCTAAGGGGTCGGAGGAAACGTTAAGGCTGTAAGTGGCCTTAACATATTGTTTGTTTGTGAAGTTACTTAAAGTTTCAATACTATGTGATAATATGTACTGTGAAATCTGATTATGTGGATTCTGTATTGAGTATTTGAGGTGTGATTGATTTGTTCTGGTAATCTGCAGTCGGTTCGTAAATATTCGGACTTCGGAATTAGTTGGTTCATTTGAATGTGTGTGGAATACCGTTATTTCGAGTACCTGGGGAATTACTGGAAAAGGTATGCTAATATCAGACAGTGAAGTAGCATGGATTGTTTATCTTGAGTTTAATGATGGTATTATTACGAAAACAGCTGGAATTCAGTATTACCTACTTATAGTCAAAATAATCCAGTGAATAATAGTTATCGGTTCATAGTAACAGCTGTGGAATAAAATTTGAATTTAATTTAGTCTTATTTTTGTCTTCTACTACTTTATCAAGAGTTTCTTAAAACAATATTATTCGTGTACACACTAACCAGTATGGTTGTTACGATGAAAGTCTTGTTTTGCAGATTCTCTACAATTTGAGTGTATTCCTCCTTGTAACTTCTCGTGAAGTTGATCCCCTTCGTGCTGTTCCAGGTTCCTATTTTCTTCAGTCCTTCCTTGTTGTTCAGTTCGATGATATCTAAGATGAAGTCCGAGCGGAAACCCTGGTGATCGAACTTGATGATGCCTGTGAGCCCCGTCATTTCAACCTGAGAACGAACATCGTACAAGCATGAAAATACAAACTACATTCAAAAGTCTTCAATAAAGATCTTCGTATTCCAACAACCTTCTCGAACATATAAAAGAAATTTATTCTTAAATCTCAATTTTTATAAATCAGTCCACAAATTCTATACATATACCCTTAGTCAACAATTAATCGAGACAGCGACAACCTCTATCAAAGCTAAACCAGAATTTTTCCTTCACGAGATAAAGAAATTTGTTTAATTTGACAAAGATATACTAAACGTGACGTCGGTTATACAGAAAACTAATCATAAATTTCCTAGCTAACGAATCCTACGTCCATTTCCTTTCTATCGAATTCCAATAACTGCGATCGTTCTCGAGATACAAACGAAAGTTCATTACTTTTCGGCCTGGCCTCGCAGTTCGGCCGCGCGTGAACGCCACCGTCGCTACCCTAATTGCGCGGATGGGGGGAGCGTAATTGGATGTCTCCGTTGCGCGAAACGCTCGGGTGCGGGCAAAAAGCTCGCGCAACCGATGCGACAATGTTCCCGGGGCTGTTAGCGATAGCCATCTTCCAGCCAGTTACACCGTTCCCGTATCTCCGCGAGCAGAAACCAACGAGACAAGGTTTATCTGTTCGTTGCGCAGGGGTCGTCCGAGGGTGGCCGGCCGAGCGGAAATTAATTTCGCGGAATTATGGGCATCGATTGGCCGACACGGGCAACGTAATAAGCTATTATAACGATATGCTTAATCTGACTGTTCGTATTCCCCGACGTTCGGCCGTGCTTATTAACGAGCGCCACGAGTGCTGCCATGTGCAACGCACCGAGAGCATCCCTGGCAACGATGACGGACGACGCAGTAAACTGTGCAGGCCGTTGAAGGCGGCGCGGCTCAGTGCGACGCGCGCTTCTATGTTCCGCCGATTGTTCTGACCAAACAATGGAAAGTTACTCCCAGGGTTAAACGAACCCGTCCCGTGCCGCCGGTTGACAAATTATAGCTACCGTGGTTTTGCGAGGCGCGGGCGTTCTCGCCGGCACGCTGCGCTAGTCCCCTGTCGTCGAACTAACCGGCAAAGCGGAAATCGAGCGTGTCGACGCGATGCTGGCGAGCTGATCGCGTGGATCCGGGCAAATAGATAAATTTGTCGGGATCCGCTGGTAGTTGCGTTGGCTTTTGTTTGACGGAGTTTATATTCACGTCTTTTGCGTCGGTTGTTTTGAAGCACATGGATCTCGTGATTCCGAGCGACGACCTGGTTGAGTCAGGAGGTCGTTAATGTTTCACGCGGACGCTCGAAGTGTCGGGGTTCTCTTATGTAGTGTGTGTAGTTTGTAATTATTTAAACGTGTACCTTGGTTTCAGTATTTGCCACTACTACAGGTTGTTGGTAAGTATCTGAGGGTAAATATTCACCGATGAAGGAATTGTTTGCTGATCAAAAGATGAAGTTCGAAGGTAATAATTAAGAATTAATCTATTTGTCAATCTAGACCATTTCGGAGACTATATTTGATTTTTCACTTTTGATAATTAATGCAAGTTGATAGTTGATGATATTAGATCTAATAAGAAGATCAATGCATGTCTTAGGAGCACGTTTGAAAGTGTATAAATATTGATAAATAGAAACTTGAGTGGTGCCATGCGTCGCACGTGAAATCGTCAAGAATGGCCGACCTCGAAAGATTAATACTACCTCAACAACTTCACCTACACAAAATGAAAGGTAAAAAACAGTGAATTCGCACGAAATATTCATAGATAAATTGTGTAAAACGTAGTTTAACTTTCATAGGGATGTAAAGCTAACCAAAGAAAAAGTTTCATAAAAGCTGCAAATAAAATCTCACTCCAACCTGTGAAATCCGATTACAAAGAGTGCCGAGTGCGCGAAACCGAAAAACTCTATCCCAAAATTCACGCAAAAGAAAGTTCCGTGACAAAGCATTACTCGAAACAGGGTGACTCGAAAGCGTTGTGTCGACGCCGATCGCAAGCGCTAGCGCGTCCAACGGAAACAACGAGCAAAAAAAGGGAAGAATAAATAAAAGGATCAACCAACGGAATACAAATGAAGCAGGCGATATCGTGGCAAATAACAACGTAAACAGACGCGATGCGTACGGGGAAAATCCGGTTACGTCAAAAATCAGTCGGCGCCGATAACGAGATACGGCAGCGATAACTATTTTTTTCGTCAGCCGTATTTT